TGTTGCAAAACTTCTGTTTGATACTAAGCAAGCCATTAAAACATAGTCAAGCATGGATTCTAAATATAGCTTTGGAAAGCCAATTCAAGATACTGGGTATCTAGCTAGAGGTACAAAATCATCTAGTATTTAAAGCTGTAAGAAATAGAAATAAAAATCCTACTTTAAAAATAAAAGATACTATCTTTTATTAGGTTTTTAAATCTAGGCCTCTTTATTTGAATAGTAGAAGTCAGTGGACAACTCTGACAATATTTGTTGTAATTTCATGTCTTAGTTCCACATGGGTAGAGAATGGATAACAAAACCTCCCTTATTTAATGGGCATATTGTAAAGAAAAATTATTGGTTCTTTAAAAAATGGCTACATTGAGTCTATCATTGAACTCCATAAGGAAACAGTAGTGTATTGATCACATTCTTTCAAAGCAAAAATTTGGGGAAACTGTCCTTATCAATAAAGAACTAAATACCATAATGTCAGTCCAAAAAATTACCAAGAATATATTTCTCTAAATATTGCCATTTCTTTCTCCAGTTATTTAAACTGGATTGTGTTACTGTCTTAATCTAATCTAGAATCAGTGTTTTTCAGACCAATGGAAGGAATGTCTCAGTAGTTTAGAGAACTAGGATGTCCTCTCTCCCAGACTTTCACGTTAGGAATCTCATTCAACAGTTGATCCTTCAAGTGCTCCCATATGTTGAAAACTATCAAACTTCTATCTGCCTGAAATGGCCTCTCTTGAAACTGTACCCACTACAAAATGGGAAATGTAACTCTCAGCTCTGGAGTGTTGGAAGTACACATTGCAAGAAATATTTTTTTTCTGTCATTTCTGTTTCTCCATTTTAACTTAAACATCTCTGACCACTTTGAAGACAACAGAGATGCAAATGAGAAAGAGGTAAGGAAACTTAGAGGGACAGAATTTACAGAGAATAGCAAATTACAAGAATGAGCCACACCCCAGAAGTTGTGGGCAAATGAGCATAGGATCAAAACAGGAGAGAAAAAAATATTAGGTGCAAAGGGATATTATGCATTTCCGACCTAAACTGTCAAGATAACTTGGCCATTACAGAGATTTAAACCATCCAGTTGTCTTAGATCAAAAAAGACTGGATCATAGAAACATGAGTAGGATTAATCTCACCTTTCTCCAAGCAGTTGCAGAATAGGCGACATAATTCTGATCAGTAAAACAAAAGTCAACAAAATAAATCAAATTTAGACTTTGATTCAGCTGACCAGACATAGGCATCCACATTAGGATGAGATGAAGCACGCTGGGAATTCCACCAAGACGCTGATTATCTTTCCTTTGACTGTGAAAAAGTGCATAGGATGATTGGATGAGGTGTTAATGCCTACAGCACAGACCAGACCATCCCATTTAGTCATATCAATCCTGCCTTTTGAAATCCTTCAGCTAATCACTGGCTGTATCTCAATGACTAAATGCTTCCTTCCTAAGCCTTACTCCCAAATACTAAAAGGCAGATAATCACCTCAATATAACCAAACAGAAGTTACTGATAGTTACTTTATTATCAAGAGTTACGATCTCTGCATAAATCTCTGCATATGAAATATGTCTGTCATCCCTTGGCTAGAGCAAATCCTACAGATGTAGACCCATTCCCATCCAATACAGATCTCCATGATATTTTCAACACTGTAAACTTTCAGCTGGCTGTGACCTACCACCAGAACTTTCAAATTCAGCTGTTCCACCATCTGTGAAGATCTTTGTAGACATTACAGTGGCACACAGAGAGGTCAAAATTGAGTTGATCTTTCAAAGGAACTTGATTCCACTATCTGTACTTCACCCACAAATTAGAACATTCTTTACTCAGCTAAAGAGAACAACTCCTGACTATACCAGGAGTGCCACTAAGGCAATTGTCCACTTCAGACTGGAAGCTCTGTATGCACATTGCAAAACTTCCTGCCTGGCTGACTTTGTCTGGTTCTTTCCCAAGGTGGATTAACCGAGGCTGTTCAATCACCTCTGAAAACATTTGCTGCCACAGTCAGAACTCAAACTGGCCTGGCTTTCCAGTCTTCCTAGACTGCTCCATTTCTGCATGCCATACAACTTCTCTTCTGGAGATATTTATATGCAATGTTAGGAAAGGCATTTACGAAGTTGGCAGTAAGGCTGGCTTCAACAAACAAAATATTGCTGACATTTGATGTGTCCTGCCTCCAGTGAGGAACACAAGAAACACCTTAATAAGACAGAAACAATGATTTTGACAATTCATCTTGCAACATTTGGAAACTTGATTTTTTGTCTAGAGAAAGCAAGATGAGAGCAAGCTAACATGGAACCTTGTGTACCAACTGCAAGAAGCTGTCACAAAAACCTGGTACCTCTCAGATGCTTGAGCCATAGCACTATCACATGGTATTTCTGAAGAGTGTGATTGATTCTCCTGAAAAGTCTTACCAAGCAACAAAGACAAAAGGGTAGCATGGAAGGCAAAAGATAATTAATGGCAATGCAAGCAATGAATATATGTAAAAGAAGAAGTTCTTTCACTGAAGCGGAATTGTGGAGCATGGTTAGAACACTAAAAACTAGTGTTCTTGTAACTGAGCTTTGGCTCTTTCCTTGAAATACGAAAAATGGAGAACAGTAATGATCAACAGTACTTCTTTTGAAACATCCAGAAAATCAAAAGGCTTATGACCTGGTTTACTGCAATGGTGAGACTATTAGTACAGGTTCAGATGCTCTATTTTTATGCCTTTGCAAAGCAAAGTAACACCTTCAGCAACCACTGCCACCATCTCTTTGCTATCATGTGAATACCGATTACCTTCAAAGACTGTCCTTCAAAGGGAGGCTACAACAGTGACATCACACTGTGTACAGTTCAAAAAGATTTTGGCCCACCTCTTAGGAATGGTGATTTAATGCTCATCTCCAGAAGGCAGCCACAGAGTTTACTACATCTTAACCATCTTAAGTTTGTATGTAGGCCCATCCTTCCATCAAGGATCCTGCTCCTGTCACTAAACAACCCCCTCTTTCAGCACCTTAGATTAAGCCTAGCCGTTAAACCTATCAAGGAGTGGATTAAAAACCTTTTTGTAGACTAGTTAGAAGTTTAGGAAAGTATGGAAAAGTATGAAACTTCTTAGATGTTTTATCTGCATAAATGACGTCCATCTTGAAGACCAATACATAACTTCAGTTATCCAGATGCAGGATGTTGCCCTTGGAGACATGGACATATTTGTCATAACGAATGGGCAGATGAATCAAGTCTGAGAAAGGAATCTCCAGCTCTTTCTATGTAAATCATCCAAAGCCCATAAATGGACCAACGTTTTCTGAATGACTATCTGCTGGACAAAGTAGAACAAAGTAGAACATTGAACTATCAAAGCAGAACATTTGAGAACATTTTAAAAAAAGACCTCTGAAAGACTTTGAAAAAACCCCCAAAACTTTGGTTAAACATGAGTTGACTCAATGGGTTGGTTGATTACATAAATGCGAGGAACTCTGCGCCAACCTGTGCTGTTCTGCGGCAGAGAATGGCTCCCTGGCGTGGCATGGAATAGGAAACACTCACTGGAACAAACACTGCGGTATGACAGAGCACAGTTTGGCATTCCTGTCCTGACACTGGTTTTGTCCCACTCTTCAGCCCTTTTGAGACCAGAAACTACGCCTTGAAGAATTTTCTCTCGAAGAAGTGACTCAGTAACTCGTTCCATCTACCTTTGCATTACAAAGCCTTCCATTCATCAGGTTCATGGCTAGCTACACAGCACTTCATGTGAGGCACCCCAAGACGACACACGAGGTGGCAAGAACAGGTTGTGAGGTGACAAGAACAGGTTGCGGGGTGTAACTAGCCATGGACTCATAAGCAGGTCAACAGCTCAGCTACTTTCTGTTGGCCCATCATCCCACGGAGGCCTTGGCGGGGCCTTCCCGGCTTGGCAACCGCGGTCAGCCGGGAGATGGAAGGCACATATCCGGTGTTGGCAGCCACCGTCGAGGGCCGTTTAGTTTCTTTTAAGGCGAAGGCATCCGACCAAGGAAGTTTGGACGGGGAGGAAGAGCGTGCACACGCGTTATACACGGCACCGTGGCAGGGCGATGGACGGGGCGATGGCGGAGCCCGCGGGGAGCGGAGCTCGGAGGGCGGCGGAGGGGCGGCCACGGGGGGCTGCGGGCGGCCACGGGCGGGGGCCCGGCGGCGTGACGCGAGCCCTGCACGTGCGCGGCGCCCCGAGTTCTGCCACCGCCGCCCCGCTCCCAACTCCGCGTCCGTCCCGCGGGCACATCGCACACCCCCGCACCCCCCCCGCTCCCGCTCCCATCACCCGCGGTTTCCCGGGCGCGGCCCCGGGCGCGCGCCCCCGCCGCCCCCCGCGCGCCGCCGGGCTCAGCTGAGCAGACAATGGGAGATCAAAGCCGGGATGGGGTGGGGGGAGGAGGAGAAGGAGCAGGAGGAGGAGGAGGATGGTGCCGGGCGGCGGCACGGGGGGGCGGCTGGTGGAGCCGGCGGGGCGGAGAGCGGTGGTTCGCGTGTGGCGCTGCCTCTCTGCGCTCGATTAGTGTTCCTGGGGAGGGAGCGAGCGAGTGTAGCCGCCGGCGGACGGAGGGGTGCGGGGGGGCGGGGGGGGCGAGCACGCGTGTGAGTTCTGTGTGCGCGGGTGCGCGCGGCTGCGTGCTCCCGCGGGCGCGCGCTCGGGCGCGCGCTCGGGTGCGCGCGCGCCGGGCTGTGTGAGGGCGAGCCGGGAGAGCGAGCGAGTTGCGCAGCTGCCGTGCACGCCCCCGCCGCCGCCGCCGCCGCCGCCGCCAGCGCCAGCAGCAGCAGCAGCAGGGGCAGGAACAGGAGCACCTCACTGGCATTTAACGAGCGGAGCTGCTAGTTGCGCTGGAGAGAGACGCGCAGGGAGGAGGAGGAAGAAGAAGAGGAGGAGGAGGACGGGAAGAGGAGAAGAAGGAGGGGAAGAGGAGGAGAAGAGGAGGAGGAGGAGGAGAAGAAGAAGAAAAAGAAGAAGAAGAAGAAGAAGAAGAAGACGAGGAGGGAGAGGAGGAGGAGGCCAAACGGACACCAACTGAAACAAAAGTATTTCCAAACCGGCACCCAACTCCACCTTGTGAGGCTCCCACAGCATGGCTTCCGAGGAACTCTACGAGGTAAGAGCCCCCGAGCTCCGCCGGCCCTGCCCCCGGCCCCGCCGGCCACCTCACCCCACCCCACCGCACCCGAGAGCGTTTTTGTTGCTCCCCGGGAGCACCGCCGGGCTTGTCACCCACACTTGCAGCGGCTGCTGCCCCTTCCCGCTGGGCCCAGCGCCTGCGTGTGTGCCCAGCCTGGCCCCCCGCCCCCCCTTCCCTCCCCAGTTTTGCTGGAGGAGGACGGAAATGTGACTGAACGGAGGAGACGGCAAAGTGTTACCGTGGCCTGCGCTCCCCCCTCAGTCCTTTCCCCACGTTCACACAACACTTTGACTCCGGGAGGAGAAGGGGGGGTGCTGGATGGGGCGAGCAGCGCTGACAGCCCCGGCAGTGATCACGTCGAAGTGCGAGCCCGGCGCTGTGCAAAAATGTGAGCAAAGCTGAGTTATTGCCTCTATCCGGGCCGGGGGGGGGGCGAGGGGGCGGGGGAGGAGGAGGAGGAGGGCAGAGGGGCTTTCCTCTTGGATTTGTGTCCATACCAAAGTCCTGTGCCACCATCGTGTGCCTTGGCCGTGCGGCAAGCTGCGGCGGTGCAAAATACTAAAATTTAAACTCCTCGGCTCTTCGTGCTCCAGCGATAGGGTTGAGGTTGCGAGAGAAGCCAAAAAGATTGAAAGTTAAGGCTTTGACACGCCATCCTTCACTCGTCACTCGGGAGGTGGTCACAGCGTGTGCTGACGGGAGAGGGAGGTCTTGGGGTGAAGAAGGGAACAAGGTGACAGCCGAACTTTGAGTTTCCTATCTTATGCCTGGCAATTTCACATCCTTGCCCTTAACTGAAAAGCATCATGGTTCTCTTGGATTGAACTTCCTTGTTTTTATTTTTGCAAGAAGTTATCCCCGGGACTGAAAAGCCATTGTTGTTTTGGAGCTGTTCTTGCCTTTTGGGTAGAGAAGTGGCTTCCCAAAACCAAAAATGCTCTTATCTGATAGTTAATATGCATCCAGACAGCGATCTATTAAAAATATATATCCAGAGGGTGGAACTCTTAAGGTTAAAAGGAGGCAGATAGCCTTCAGGACACTTGACAGAAGATGTCTTACCGTACAGCTGGTGCACATGAATCTCTCCTTAATTGAGTTACATCTGTGATGCCATCGGTGAACAAACCCTGTAGAAGTCAGTGTTGGGTGCCCCGGGTGGGCTTGTATTTTAAGCAAGTTGGCTGTCAGCAGAGGTGCTGAACTGATAGACTAGAAAGAAGACCGAAGGCCTGTATTCCCAAGACAGATAAATCATGGTTAATTGCTCTGGCAAGTGTCCCCATCCTCACAAGGTAGCTTAAGTCAGTCTTGAAGGGATCATCTCTGAAAGTTGGAGAGAAATTTAGGAACCTCTCTGCGTCTCAAGGAATTGCCAAAAACTTGCTTTGACTTTGCGAGGGTTGTGTTGAGTTTGTGGAGTTGGGCCTGTAGACTGTGCTGCAGCCAGTTCTTGCTCTTCACGTGTTGCCGTGTTTGATCAAAGATGCACAACGAGATATTGCTTTTGATGGGCACTAATAAATGACCAGGAAAATTCTGCTTGCTGAGCATTGGACTGAGGCTGAGAATGACCATTGTGCATGACTCTTCTTGGCTGTCTTGTGTTCAAAATGTTGACTTGTTGGCTCAGTGGTCTGTGGGGCGCAGTTGTGCTCTGGGCGCGTCGTGGCCATTGCGCAAATGCCGCTCTTGACAAACACCTGAAGGGATACTTCTAAGTTTTAAAAATCTGACACTTTCATTAATCGTGCAAGTGCAAAGTTTAATTAAGGTGCCAAAATAGTTAATGCTTTTGGACTGACATGTGGTCAAGCTGTCTCTTTTTTCTAAATTGTTGCTCATTTTTGACAAGTTTTGTCTTATAATGAATTTTCTAGCCATGTCTGAAAAACCATAAAATAATAAACGATTTCAATATAGTGAGCACTAATTTAGGAAGGACGTAGCTGTGAGTAGACATGAAATGTTACTTTTTAAGTAATTTAAACTGTTTTGTGAACTGCCTGTGTTATTGATGGTGGGTTTACTTCTGTTTCATGGTTGTCTTATTTATAGGTCATGCCATTCAATATCGTTTGAATCTGGTGTTTGAAATCTGCTGCCATTTGTTATACTTCCATTTTTCCTTCTTGATCTTGATCTAGTGTCTTGATCAAAAAAATGTTGTGTAATCTATTTGCAATTGTTAGCTTAAGTATGAATGCCAACTATTTCTGCTGATATGTGTCATGGTTCTTCCAAAATACAAATGAAAAATTCTCTTATAAAAAATGACAATAAGTTCGTTTTTCTTTTTTTTTTCTTTTTTTTTTTTTCAATCTTAGTGCATTCACTTATTTGTGAGATTCTTTTTATTCTGGATGTCATCCCTGAAGTGAGGGAGCTGATCTCTATGTAGGCCGGTGATTTCAAATTCAAAGATCAAGACCTTAAATCTACTAATGGGTTGGCAGTGTGACTGGGGCTGGCTGTGTATCCTCAATGTCATTTGTTCCCATGCATTTTAGAGGTTGTGGTGGTGATGACTACCTGCTATTTTTTTCCCTTTTTTTTCCTTATTTTTTCTTTTTTTTTACTGGGGTAGAAACATTGAAGAGACTGTTTTCTAGATGAAAAATGCAGCAGTTGGTAATGTTACCAGCCTCTGTAGGTGAGGCAAATAACATACTTTTTGTGTTTTCAAGTTTGTTTCTTCAAGGGACAAAGTGTTTTTTAGTGAGGTGGACAGACATGGAGAAGTTGGCAAATAAGACAGGTGAAGGAAAACGTAAGAAAAGGCGCACTGGGTTTTTATTTCTGCAAGTTTGTTTCAACAGGCGTTGACATCTTATGGCACTTCTCTTTGTATGTGCCTGCTGGGATTTGTTAGTGTGGTTTTTGAAAAATCCTTTGAACAGCCTTTGGGCAAATGGTAGGGTTACCTTCTTCTTCAATGTGACAACTTTCCTTTGGCTTACTGACCTGTTTCCCACTAAACATTGTTACTTGTTCTCATCATCTTCACTGGAGTAATTAGAAGTAGACCTCATTTCCAAGGTTCTTTCAGAAGCAAACTATGTTTGCTCTCTCTGCAGTAAAATCCCTTGACCTCCTTTGGCAAACTCTTGCAAGTGATGTCTGAAGTCATCCTAAGTTGTGGTTGGCATGACAAGTTTGTTTGATGAAATGTGGAAGTTGTTCCATACAAGTGCTCTGTGGGAGAGCTGTGTGCTAGCCAGCAGGTCAGATGTACCAAGTCGTGGTCAGTGGACAACAACCAATCTGTGCTCAGTTGGGAAGAGTCTCTTTCTCATAAAATTTAATATTTTGTTTTCGTATTAAGTGAGGTGGAAATGCATTGAAGTTCTCTACTGTTGGACATGGTGTCTAGTCAAATTACTGAGTGTTTCTGCCTTTCCTCAGGGAACTGCTGGTACAGCTGATACCCATAATATACATGGCCCACTGGATCCATTTGTGTAACTCTGGCTAGGCTTGGGCCATGCTTGCTACTCACGTCAAAACATTTTTATTGGGTTTTACTGATAAGTAAGCAAAACAGTTTGTGTGAACTTTGCTAGTGTACCTATGCCTTGATGCCTTCTCTTTACTCTGTGTTTCACATTGGCATTGGTCATAAACCCAGTGTTTTAAGGTGTCTTAACCAATTTCCATTTAAATATTACAGATTAAGATACTGAAAGTCCTGTACTTCAAAATTATACATTTTTGTATGCTTTATAAAATGGAAAATATATATTTTTTTAAAACCTTCCATTGCCTTGCAAAAAACATGCATTTTTTCATATTGGTGTCTAATATCCTCAAGGTGATACTTCACTTCCAATGATGATTCAGTACTTTTGGTTTTATTTTTAGAACTAAAGCCTTTGACATTAAATTATACAGATACAGTGAAACTACAAACTGAAACAAATTTCAGGAGCAACTGGCTGAAGTGCTATGGCCTGACATTAAGCTATGTGTCAGGTTTAATCACCTAATAAGTAAGCCCAAAGACACGTATTCCAAGAAAATTTAAGCTTTGTGTGTAGAGTAGTGGCCACAAGTCAACAAAAGTGATCCTGTGGGCTGTTCTTCATTGTGCGTGCTTGTCTTTTAAATGATAGAGTGTAGAAAACTGTTGGAGAAATGCTGTCATTTTCTTGAAAATTTGATACTGCATAGGAATTATTCACTTAAACCCAAAGTTTCTCTCATGGCCCTAGGAACGCTGCAGCGATCGAATCGTCATCATGTTTTGTGTGCATTTACTGGAAAGTTTAAACATTTGTTTTGCTTAAGTTAACTGAAAGGATAAATCCATTATCTGCAGTATGCAGCTTGGAGTTGTAGTTTTTAATGGCTATTTGATGAAAAATTACTATTAGCAACAAATCAGAATTGGCTGTATATTCAGGCAATAGCCTTTTTTTTCCTCATTGCAATGGGTTGTTTTCATTCAACCTATCTTGCAGGAATTCCAGATTGTCTTGGGATCTGTCTTCTGTTGCTTGTTTCTGATGTGCTGATGCCCAAGACCTTGGTTAAAGATCTTGTTCATAAGGAGGGACTTACAGTCATTGAGGTGTAATGCCTAAGTTTTTATGAGTTTATTTTGACAGCTGGTGTAAATGCTTGTTTCAGGAGAAGTAAAAGACACAAATTTGCTTGACTGACCCTACCCAACTAAGTAAGACTAGGAATTTACATCAGATGTGTTTGTGCTGCTTCCACTCCTTAGGAGATACACATCTGACTTCCAGTAGAGTTGAGGATTAGCTGTTCATCCTCCACGGGTGACTTTCACTTCTTTAAACCAGAGCACAAATGCAAGAGCACTGCAGGAGTGGAGCCATCCCATTTAGTGTAAGAAACTTGACTTTTCCATGTTCCTTGCCAAGCTGCTTTTAACCAGCTTGATTAGCCCCAGAACTGTGGACAAAATTGAGGAGTAGTGCCCTGTCTTCTGGGGCAGCTGCAGGGGAAGTGCT